TTTTTACACAGTGGTTTGTATCACTTTGAAAATAGCTACACATGTTAGCTACCACCTCTAGCAATCAAGAAAATTAGTTTTGTGAAATGTCCCACTGTCTGAGTGTCTCAAAAAAATTAAAAACCCTAAAAAAGTCATGATTTTTGTCAATTTTAAAATGTAGTCTCTACACAGTGGTTTGTATCACTTTGAAAATAGCTACACATGTTAGCTACCACCTCTAGCAATCAAGAAAAATTAGTTTTGTGAAATGTCCCACTGTCTGAGTGTCTCAAAAAAATTAAAAACCCTAAAAACGTCATGATTTTTGTCAATTTTAAAATGTAGTCTCTACGCAGTGGCTTGTATCACTTTGAAAATAGCTACACATGTTAGCTACCACCTCTAGCAATCAAGAAAAATTAGTTTTGTGAAATGTCCCACTGTCTGAGTGTCTCAAAAAAATTAAAAACCCTAAAAAAGTCATGATTTTTGTCAATTTTAAAATGTAGTCTCTACACAGTGGTTTGTATCACTTTGAAAATAGCTACACATGTTCGCTACTACCTCTAGCAATCAAGAAAAATTAGTTTTGTGAAATGTCCCACTGTCTGAGTGTCTCAAAAAAATTAAAAACCCTAAAAAAGTCATGATTTTTGTCAATTTTAAAATGTAGTCTCTACACAGTGGCTTGTATCACTTTGAAAATAGCTACACATGTTAGCTACCACCTCTAGCAATCAAGAAAAATTAGTTTTGTGAAATGTCCCACTGTCTGAGTGTCTCAAAAAAATTAAAAACCCTAAAAAAGTCATGATTTTTGTCAATTTTAAAATGTAGTCTCTACACAGTGGTTTGTATCACTTTGAAAATAGCTACACATGTTAGCTACCACCTCTAACAATCAAGAAAAATTAGTTTTGTGAAATGTCCTGCTGTCTGAGTGTCTCAAAAAAATTAAAAACCCTAAAAAAGTCATGATTTTTGTCAATTTTAAAATGTAGTCTCTACACAGTGGTTTGTATCACTTTGAAAATAGCTACACATGTTAGCTACCACCTCTAGCAATCAAGAAAAATTAGTTTTGTGAAATGTCCCCACTGTCTGAGTGTCTCAAAAAAATTAAAAACCCTAAAAAAGTCATGATTTTTGTCAATTTTAAATGTAGTCTCTACACAGTGGTTTGTATCACTTTGAAAATAGCTACACATGTTAGCTACCACCTCTAGCAATCAAGAAAAATTAGTTTTGTGAAATGTCCCACTGTCTGAGTGTCTCAAAAAAATTAAAAACCCTAAAAAAGTCATGATTTTTGTCAATTTTAAAATGTAGTCTCTACACAGTGGCTTGTATCACTTTGAAAATAGCTACACATGTTAGCTACCACCTCTAGCAATCAAGAAAAATTAGTTTTTGTGAAATGTCCCACTGTCTGAGTGTCTCAAAAAAAATTAAAAACCCTAAAAACGTCATGATTTTTGACAATTTTAAAATGTAGTCTCTACACAGTGGTTTGTATCACTTTGAAAAATAGCTACACATGTTAGCTACCACCTCTAGCAATCAAGAAAAATTAGTTTTGTGAAATGTCCCACTGTCTGAGTGTCTCAAAAAAATTAAAAACCCTAAAAAAGTCATGATTTTTTGTCAATTTTAAAATGTAGTCTCTACACAGTGGTTTGTATCACTTTGAAAATAGCTACACATGTTAGCTACCACCTCTAGCAATCAAGAAAAATTAGTTTTGTGAAATGTCCTGCTGTCTGAGTGTCTCAAAAAAATTAAAAACCCTAAAAAAGTCATGATTTTTGTTAATTTTCGAATATAGTCTCTACACAGTGGCTTGTATCACTTTGAAAATAGCTACACATGTTAGCTACCACCTCTAGCAATCAAGAAAAATTAGTTTTGTGAAATGTCCCACTGTCTGAGTGCCTCAAAAAAATTAAAAACCCTAAAAAAGTCATGGTTTTTGTCAATTTTAAAATGTTAGTCTCTACACAGTGGTTTGTATCACTTTGAAAATAGCTACACATGTTAGCTACCACCTCTAGCAATCAAGAAAAATTAGTTTTGTGAAATGTCCTGCTGTCTGAGTGTCTCAAAAAAATTAAAAACCCTAAAAAAGTCATGATTTTTGTTAATTTTCGAATATAGTCCTCTACACAGTGGCTTGTATCACTTTGAAAATAGCTACACATGTTAGCTACCACCTCTAGCAATCAAGAAAAATTAGTTTTGTGAAATGTCCCACTGTCTGAGTGTCTCAAAAAAATTAAAAACCCTAAAAAAGTCATGATTTTTGTCAATTTTAAAATGTAGTCTCTACACAGTGGTTTGT